GCAAGTTGTAGAACCCCTTTTAGGTATTCTGTGTTGTTGGCGGAGCTTTCTGCTATACGTCCATTCGATCCGCCATCTTGTTTGTTCTCCGGATATGTTCTTTTTGACGATGAATGCAACACCATTCCGTTTCAATTTGTCATTCCCTGCATAGTAAACCATGTGGTTGTCAGATTCAGAATATCCAATACCAGTCCATTTCAGCTCACTAATGTCTAAGATATCGATGTTGATGCGTTCCATTTAATTTTTGACAACTTCCAATTTTCCCAGATTTATACTTCGTACATTTCATGTTCCGATTTTCAGTGGATGTTTATAGCTGTTTGTCTTCATTTTGAGTTGTAGCCCATCAGCAAATGAAGGTTCTGTGGGCGTTTCTCCCACGAGCTTAACTCTATTCACTTCATCATGGTCAACTCTACTTTGAGGAGGCATTTATTTCCCAGTTGCATTCTGAGTGCCTTCCAACCTGAGGGGCTCATTTTCTGGTCCTGTATTTGACAGTGTTTCTCTGCTAATCATAGAGTTTTCAGTGACTAGCGATTTGGAAGTAGTTCGTCACCCTTTATTCCTAGTCTGTCTTTGTCTGGAAGCTCATCTGAAACCCGTCCACCATGGGTGACCCTGCTGGTTATTTAAAATACCAGTGGCATAGCCCTCAGAATCACAGCAACTCAAGCCACCACAGCATGACAGACAGACGAGTGGTGGCCGTTTGGTTTCATGTCGAAACTGTCACTTTAAATTTCGATATCAATCCTGATACAATCAAGATGGTCTCTCCCAAGATGGCGGCTCTGGGAACAGCTGAGTGTTTTAAACCAGAAATCAATGGATTTCTGGGTTCTCCTGCAAATTCCCCAGCTGTAAACCCTCTGATCCTCCAAACATACCTTATATTTGTTTCAGAGTTCCAACACCATCCCCTGAGCCCTCTTGGCCTGGTATTCCGTGTTGTTGTTGACGGAGCTCCTTACTGCATGTCTACCCGATCCGCCATCTTGATTGGTCATCCATTATAGCTATCAGATGAATGCCTTCAGCAGTTTCTTTCCCCTTTTAAAAGTATGGACTGGAAAATTTGATAACCAAGCACAATAATATATGAAAATATGAGGGGGCTTCATAAAGTTCATGGAAATATTCTTTTCATTCCATTTTTCCATAAAAGTTTTGAAGCCCCCTTCTGTGATTATATTTCATCGCAGATTAACATTTAGTAAGAAATAATGGTTTAACAATGGCATAACTGTTGTGAAAATAGTTTAGCAAACAAGTGAAACCTCCAAATCATGAGTTTTCCTAACACAAATCAAATTTATCATGCGCTTTCAAGTAAGGAATATGGAATAAACCTGCAGTTTTTAGTTGTAACCATCACTCTGCAATCTGGAACTCAACTACTATTTGGGAAAAAGCGTTTGTGCTAGAAACACTGCTGTTTTTCTCTTTCTCTCAGCAATCTTTTCATACATGTACTGTCTGTTAGTCTCTGAATACTCTTGTTTCATACACGTTTTTCTATTTTTTCTTTTGTTTAAGTAAGAGAAGTAAATCTAGCCCCTGCTACTCCATCATAACGAGAAATGAATGTGTCTGCCCCATACATTTATATACCATTCATATACCTACAGTTTCTGAAGGATCAGTTTCTGAAGGTATCTTACTATCCTCTTGATATGTAATCATCATCTCAAATTGCACCTGTTAAAAAGCAAACATTTCTGTCTGCAATTTCCAAACTTCACTTCTGGAGTCTTCTATATGTCACTAATAGCAGATCCATTCTTTAGTTGTTTAAACCAGCAAAGATTTTATAGTTGTTCCCTGTTGTTCTTTTTTATAGCCCATAATCATTCGATCTTCAAATTCCATTGATTGGACTTTCAAAATCTATCCCATGTCCAACCACTTGTTATTATTTCACTAACCTCCTAGACCAAGTCACCATTTTATCTTGCCTGGGTTCTTGAAAGAGCTTTTAACTGATCTCCTTGTCTTTTCACTATTGTCTGTTTATAGTGTACTCAACACAGCAATAAATGATCTTTTTAAAATTATCTTTTTCAAGTGCAAGTTAAATCATGCTATTCATTCCCTCACCCAAATGTCTTTCCGTCCAAAGACGTTATCATAGACAACAAAGCTTGGCACTGTGCTTTCCGTGTTCCCACTTACTGGCTCTGTGTTACAGCTACAGTAACCTACTGTTGTCTTTTGAATTTCATGTTTTAGTTTCATAACAGTGTTTTCTCCAGTAAATCATGGTTCTCTAAGATCCTATCCCAAAACCTAGCCTAAAGTAACAAAGACCTTATATGCATGGAAGTAATGGTGAAAAAGATACCTCCCAAAAAGAGTTATTCAGAGATACTTTAAAACCTTTTATTAAACTATATAAAAGAATAATATATGCAAAATCTTGGCTTTAAACTTCAGTTCTAGTCTAATATCTGATACCTGCCATTTTCAATCTGTTCTATGCTGCACAAATTATCATTTCTTTGATTTACAGTTTCTCGCTGGTAACATACTGGTTACGAATTGGGCTGCGAACCACAAGGTCAGCAGTTCAAAACTACCAGCTGTTCCACAGGAGAAAGATGAGGCTTTCTGCTCCCATAAAGATTTATAGCCTTGGAAACCCTGTACAGGGTCGCTATGAGTCGGAACCGACTCCATGGCACAATGTAAAATAAAGGAATTTATTGGGCTGTATAATCCTAACATTCATGTTCTGTTAAACTTTGAACTACTTTTTTTTCTCTAGATCTAGAGCTTGAAAATCTGTCCAGTTTTTACATATAAAATAAGTTCTATCTTTGTTTGCATGAGATTTAAGTTCTTTATGATCCTAGTTTGCAAAAAATAATAGCATTTGCTCCTAATTGGAAAATACAGTTTAAAGTGGAAGTCATAAAGCTTGTAACATTCAAATCTAAAATTTGTTTTTTTAATCTATAGAGATATGAAAACCTCTTTGAAATAGATGTCTATCCAAATAACAGTTCAGAGCAGTGCTACTGCACAGTTCAGGTCTTTGAATTTTTGTTTTGGTTGTCACTGAAACATAAGGAGTTTGCACTAATGAGGGGTTAGGGAGCTTTAGAAAGTTCATGCAAAAATTCCATGGTCTTTTCATCACCATTTTTGCATGACCTTTTTGAAGCCCCCTCATTTAAGTCAGCTACAGTTGTATCAATAAATCACACTTGTAAAGCTCAGTTGGCTTCTTTTTTCCATTGCTGCAAGACTTGTATTGAAGGAAGCAGTATGTTGATTTACATTGTGATATAAGCTCCTTTGTATGTCTGTGACACAAACATTTACACAGACTAGCACCAGCACTGGTTACTCAGGAAGTAATGATTACTGGTGCGGCATTGTAGTAAGATAAGGCACTTTGACCGCAAGGTTGATTTGAACTGCAATGTCAGGAGTTCAAACTCACCAGTTACTCCTCGGAAACCCCATACAGGGTCGCTATGAATAAGAACTGACTTGAAGGCACTTAAAACAAAATGTTTAATTACTGTTATAAATGAGTGTTAAGTTTCGTTAGAATGCTGAACACTCTATAAATATCTTTGTTAGCTTCTAGTTAATAATCAATAATTCCATTTGTTTTGCCTAAGTGGGAAAAAAAAAACTTACTTGTTTTTATTGTTAGTACTATGCAGATGTTCCAGCAGAAGAAAGAGAAAAGAAGTTGACTTCCTGCTCAAGACACAGATTCCGCTACATTCCACCCAACACACCAGAGAATTTCTGGGAAGTTGGTTTTCCTTCTACTCAAACTTGTGTGGAAAGAGGTGAGAACTTGTATGGAGATTATTAAGTGCTCTCAAGTAAATTCGACTCAAAGCAACCCTGGATAGGGTTTTTGAGGAGCAACTGGTGGTTTTGAACCACTGATCTTGCTTATCCTACACAATGCCACACCAGAAATCTGAGGTGGGCATTGATAAATACTTTTAAATACCATGGTGGTGTGATGGTGGTTACGTACAGTGGAGTCAGTTCCAAAGCATAAGATTTCCCAGGCTGTAAATCTTTATGGGAGCAGAAAACCGCATCTTTCTCCCATTGAGTGGCTGGTAGATTTGAACGGTTAGTTAAAAAAAAAAAAACCTCACTGTGCTGCAAGTGCTCCTTAAATGCCATATACAAGAGTAAGTAAAAATGTATTGCTACTAGGGTTCTACTTCATAGGAAGCTAAATTCAAAAGTAATATGCTGCAAAATCTTAGAAACAAAAGTATCAAAATATGAAGCCATTGTTTCTCAACATATTCTCCATCTAGGTCTGTGCACTTCTGAAGGCAGTTTTCTAACTCACTAACCCTTCCCCAAAGAATTCTGTGCTCTTAGATTTATACCACTTCAAAAATGACAACTTTGGCATTGTTCCTTAAATGTTCTTTGAATTTGGGGAACAAAAAAATCTAAACTGGCAAGCAAGATCAGGCTATAGAGTAGATGGGGTTAAGGTTTTCTAATGAAATTTTCATAGGACAGATTTAATACCATTGACAAATGAGCAGGTGCATTGGCATGATAGAAAATATTTCTTTGGCACAAGTTTCCTGGCCTTTGAAACACCGGTGCTGTTTTCAATTTTCTTCAGCTTGTTTCTCATCAGCCCTCATGATCCCATAGTAGCAATACGCCTTTCTTACCCTCGTATATGAACAAATCTATTTCAAATAAAACATGTGTCTCTGATCAGTAGATGAGACAGACAAGTTTTCTCAGCAGTAGTCTTAGTCTTATTAGGATATCTTCAAATAAAAGGTTATCTTTTTTTTGAAAAAAAAATTGAGACTAGAGCTAATAACACATTTAAAAGAGCTCTTCCCAAATCACTGAAGCTTTACAACAAGTAAACAACAGTTTTCAAATGGAGCAAGTGTTTTAAGGAAGGTCAGGTAGACCTCAAAATTGAGCCATTTGTCAACCTCATCAAATCCAGAAACTGATACAAAAGATTATAGAATTACCATTGGTGAAATAACTACTGAAGTTGGTATCTCACATGATTTGGCATTCTTAATTTTTAGTGAACATCTTGACCTCAAAAAACTTGCAGCTTGATAGATGGAAAAAGTGTTGTGCCAAGTATAAGCTAGCTTGAAGAACTGATGATCATTTTATAGAACAAAGCATAACCAGGGACAAGTCTGGGATTTACCAATATGATCCAGAAAACAAGATGCAATCAAAACAGTGACTTCTGAGGTAACCTGCAGGACTAGTTTTCTTAAAGGCAGAGAGGTTGACTCAAAAGGTGATGGCACCTACTTTTTGGGAGCCCAAAGAGGGTAATCTTGATAGATTCTATCAAAGGACACAGGTCAAACATGGGAGCTTATTGTGAAGAAATTGTGAGAAAATTGCATTGATGAGCAAATAGGGCTAGAAAGGGTGTGCTGAGGAATATTTTTTTCCACATGACATTGCAACTGCTCATTCTTAGAAGGTTGCAAGAGCTGTCCAATGAGAAATGAGAATTTTGTTGGAAAACCTTACTCCATCCACCCTACAGCCTTGATCTTGCCTCTTCAGACTTCTTTTTGTTTTCCAAACTCAAAAACCATTTTAAAGGAACACACTTTGAGTCCCTCAAGGACGCCAAAAACTTCCATTTTGACAAGATGTAAACTGAAGAGCACAGAATTCTTTGGGGAAGAGTTAGCGTTTGAAACACCACCTTCAAAAGTGTATAGACCTAGATGAAGGATATGTTGAGAAACAATAGCTTCACATTTTGAGTTTGTTTTTTTTTAAATAAGGGTTTCTATGATTTTATCACAATACTCTGATTTATCCTTGAATACCCAAATCTGAACATTAGACTGTTTCTCCTTGGTTTTCTTTACCTTCTGTTGCAAATTGGATATTAGTTTTGTAACACACAAATTCCTAGAGATAATGGCTTCCTTTCACCTCTTAAAGTAGTTTAATTGAGATCGGAGAGTGTTAATAATCACTTTAATGTCATTATACATATTTTATTCTAGTTTATTATTCAATTTCCTTTTTATTTTATTAATGACAGAAGTTGCCAGTAGAGTTGTATTACTTTAAAAAAGAACATCTTTTGAAATTTACTACCCTGAATTTGGGATTTTAAAACATGTGTCAAGAATGCTAGATGTTTATAAACCACATTTGGGTAAAAAGGACTTGTTTATTTGCTTAGGAATATTGTTGCACAGTTGTTGTTAGGTGCCAGCGAGTCAGTTCCTACCTATACGGCCCTTGTTCAGGGTTTCTGAGGGCTAGCTCCTTCAACTATGGCGCTTTTTTAATATATAAATGCATGGCACTTTAAGCTTTCTAAAAGAATGTCCAAGTTGTGATTTTTGGTCTTTTCATCTTATAAGTGTTACAGTTCACCAGTGGCATATTGCTAAAACATGTGTATGTATGTATACAAGCTTTCTTGGTTTTATGTTAATTTTCTCCTACATTTAATGGATAGTATTCCGAAGTCTTCCTGTGACAGCAAACTCTCCTTCCGTGCTCACTAACCTTCCTGCTCAGCTGACACTTCTAATCTGAATCTTCCCAGCATTTCGGCATATAATGTCTTAGCCATTAGTTCTGAATTTTATTGCAATCATTGGTTTAAATGAAATGTTCTAGACACCTGACCCTTAAGAGATACTCAGTTATCCATCTCACAAACCATTCATTATGAAAATACATTCAAAGGGATTATATAGAAGCATCTAGTAGTCTTTAGTTCATGATTGTATTCTCTACATTACTGTATTCATACATTTTTTGCATATTTAGTTTAAAATTTATTTGTTACTAGAAAAATGTTGCCACCAATTATTCTTAATAAATAAAGAATATATGAAGAACTTTAGTTCATAATCAACCTAAAACATGAGGAATAAATATTCAAATAAAATGCATACAATTTATAGAATGCCTTCTATGAAGTTAGAAGCTCTGTGATTTGGATGTTGTGAAAACACCATATTAAAACCTATAGGAGCACACTTGGTTGTCCTGGGCATTGCTGCTGGAGCTGCTGGCAGAGGCTGAAGGAACATGGGCTTGGCAGCAGCTTAGGCTCAGGGGAAGGGAGGCAGAGAAGAGGAAGGGAGTGGAGATGGAGTAGAACACACCCAGCCTTGCCCGTTTTTCTGTCACCTGAGCCGGAGCAGCCCCACCGCTGTCCCTGCCTGACCACCAGACAAAGCCCAGTGTCTCACCTGACTGTATACCAACCATGGTCCAGTGCTGCAGAAGGGTCTTTAAAACCATTAGGGGAAAATGATAAACAAAAGGAGACCTGCTTTCCTTTTAGACGACAACCAAAAACCCATGGGACCACAGACATATATGCAAATCAGGCTTAGAGCAAACAGGTTAAACTAAGCAGTACAGACCTGCACTTCAGTTATAGCTGTTGGAAGAGGGCACAAAAACCATGAGAGAGTGTATTAGCTAAGCACAAGTTTAACTTTTTAGTATTTTTTGCTATTCTCCTTGATGTAGATAGCACTTGATTATAGGTTATGTCTTATCTTGTGATTTAAAATACTGAGTTTTATGAAAATATGATAATGTGATATCTTCTGAGGTGTGACTAGAAAATACAGAATGTTCAGAATATTTTTAATTTGAGGTTTATGACAGGTTTAATTAGTTTCTAGTATATTTGTAAGTTACAGATAAACATAACATTTAAACTCACAAGAAGATATATGTCATTGTTAATTGCCATGGAGTGGATTCTAACTCACTGGCGACCCCAGCTGTGCAGAATAGAACCGTTCTGTTAGGACTTTTGAAGCTGTGGCCTTTTGGGAAATCACCAGATCTGCCTGTCCTTTGAAGCATCTCTGGGTGGGACCAAATCTTCAACCTTAGGGCTAGTTGTAAGTAGTTGGGTGCTACCGGGGACTCCATGCAAGACAATGTAGTTGTTAAGTTCTTTTGAGTTGGTTCTGACTCACAGTGACCCTGTGTAGGGTTTCCAAGGAGCAGCTGGTGGGTTTGAACCACCAACTTCATAGCTAGCAGTCAAGTGCTTATTCTACAGCACCACAGTATAGTAGAATTGAATAAATATCAAATGATTACTATCTAGAATTTCAGTTCAGCCTTTCCATGGTATAGAGACTGTCCTCAAGTAAGAGTCCTGATGATTCAGTTATATGACTAACAATAGGGGAGAAGTTTCCTCCTTTTTAGAGAAATTCTAGATATTTCATTATAAGATATTGTTATTAAGTGCTGTTGAGTCGTTCTGACTCATAACAACCCTTTTAGGGTTTCCAGTGCTTTGAATCTTTGTGGGAGCTGAAAGCCTCATCTTTCTCCCTCCAGAGTAACTGACTGGTGGGCTTGAGCCACAGACCCATGCTTCATAGTCCAGTGCTTATCCTACAATGTATGCAAAAAATATAGTCTCTAACAGCTATTGCTAGATTTCTACTTTCCCCACTATAAAAAGCTAGATTAACTCTTGACCTGATGTTTCTCTGCCTAGTAACCACATAGAATCAGCCAATCTGGAGAGAGACTGTTGTTAGCTGTGGCTTAAGGGTATAGCAGAGGATAGTTCTCCCTGCAAATTACAGAATTGAAGACACACTGGGAGAATCTAGCAGTCATCTAATGAAGTAGCTATTGTGAAAAGTCTTTGTAAGCACCTGGAATTAGTCATAAAGTTAGAGTCCCTGGTTAACAGTTTGCCCCCATGTGCATACTATGGAAAGCAGAATAGGAAAGTGCTTAAGACCTCTGTTTCTGGTATTAGATCTTGGACAAACTCCCAGCTCATCCACTTCTTAGACTTATTACATTGAGCAAATAATTTAACTTTCCTGGGCATAGCTGAAGTTACTTCAAAGCAATTTTAGAGTTATGTGAGATAATGTATTAAAAGGATTTGACAGATGTGCATGGTTGATCTTGTTATAATTAAGAAACTGTGTGAAGTCAGCATCAAACAATAGTAACAGAAAAATCATGTAAAATCTTTGCTATATACATACTGACGGAAATGTATGTTGCAAGTAGTGTTCAAAATTTGTGATTTTTTTTCTTTCGAGGTTACATCAAGGAAGATCTTGATCCCTGTCCACGTCCAAAAAGACGGCAGCCTTACAACGCAATGTTTTCTCCAAAATGCAAGGAGCAGAAGACATAGACATTGAAGCAAACAGGATAGAGGACGATTGTTTTCCTTTTTAGTTATTTATAGTTAAAGTTAGTATTTCAACACTGATTTTTTTTTATCTTCTGTAAACTGATTTATAAATCAAGTTTCTATTAAAAATGTTTTTAAATAGCATTTGCTCACCACACAAACAATTATTTAAAATGTGGATAAGTTTATGCTGTATTTTCTTGCTTTTGCACCTGTGAAACAATAAGGTGCTTTCATTTTGCACTCTAACTTAAGAGGTGTTTATTTACTTTATTTGGTAAGCCCCAATTACACTTTTGAAAATATGATCACTTTTGTCTGTGATTTGTTGCCTTCAAGTCTGTTCTTTTCATCTTCCCTGGGTATTTACATTTAGTAATGACTTTGTATTAATCATTAAAACTCTTCATTCTCTTCATCAGTTATTCTTCTGTGGGCCATACCATGCCATTTAGAGCTTAAAAAGGCTAAATTTTAACTTTCCAGCCACTTTGTTGTGTGGAATTGAAATGAGCTCTGGTAGCGTAGCGGTTACGAATTGGGCTGTGAACCGCAAGGTCAGCAGTTCGAAACTACCAGCTGTTTCACGGGAGAAAGATGAGGCTTTCTGCTCCTGTAAAGATTTACAGCCTCGGAAACCCTGTACAGGGTCGCTTTGAGTCAGAACCGACTCCACGGCACACAACAACAACAACAGCTGTGTGGTAGAGCCTTGGTGGAGCACTTTGGGTTAATGCACTGGACTGCAAAGTTGGTTTGAACCACAAAGCCAGTGGTTCAAGCTCACTAGCTGCTCCTAGGAAACCCTAAACAGTGTCGCTATGGGTCAGAACTGACTCAATGGCACTTAACAACAACAATAACTCTGTAGTTGGAGTTCTGGTGTGGTGCTATAAATAAAAACACTGGACTATGACCCACCAGCTGCTCGTTAGAAACCCTATACAAGGTTGCTATGATTCAGAACTGATTCAACAGCACTTAATGTACTATAACTAAATATCTAGAATTTCTCCAAAAGTAAGGAAGCTTCTCCTCCATTGTTAAGTCATTCAGCTGAGCCATCACTCCCCCTTGAGAACAGCACTGTAAGGTGGAAAGGCTGAATTGAAATTCTAGATCATAATCATTTGATATTTATTCAGTCCTACTGTGGCGCTGTGGGTTAATGCATCAGACTGAAAAGCTGTTTCAACTGCAAGGTTGGTGGTTCAAGCTCATCAGCTACTCCTTGGAAACCCTACACAGGGTCACTATGGGTCGGAACCAACTCAATGGCACTTCACAACAACAACAACTATATTGTGGTATTAAATTCCTTTTGGGTAATCACAAATATCAGTTTTTTCCTTTACTGTGTAATCATCTGCTGTGATCCATAATCTTTGTTTGGTCATACTTTTGGGGGTTTCTAGTTGCGAGCTGAATTTGTTGTTCTCTGTCCATTATATTCAGTTGGATTATTTCTGTTGGTTAACTAATATTCTGAACTTCCTATATGATATCAAAATAGACTTCTCTACTTAAGGAATTTTCCATCCCTCAAGAGCCAAGTGTCTGAGTCATTAAGATGACTGACCAACCTGTGTATTACTAGTTGCACTTTCAACATATTTTTGTGTCTTTCACTCATACCGGACAATATTATTACCGTAAACAGGAATACACAAGACTCTGAATGGAATGCCTCACTAAAATATAGATAACCTTATAATTTTTTGCTAAAAATTTTTAAAATCTCTTGGCTTTGAATTTAGTCTTCCTTGTGGAGCATGGTTTCCATGAGTATGAATGGATCAGTTTGTGTTCTTCACTGATAGGAAATGAAAGAAAATTATGAGTGTCTGCTATGAGGCATTGTAGATTGAAGTTGTCAAGGACTTCATTCTTCTTGGATCAACTACCAACACTCATGGAAGCAGCAGTCAAGAAATAAAACGTGTATTGCATTAGGCAAATCTGCTGCACAAGACCTTTTTAAAGTGTTGAAGAGCAAAGATGTCAACTTGAGGACTAAGGTGCGCCTAACTCAAGCCATGGTATTTTCAGTTAACCTCATATGCATGTGAAAACTGGGCAGTGAATATTGAAGACCGTAGAAGAATTGATGCTTTTGAGTTATGGTGTTGGAGAATAATATTGAAAGTGCCATGGGCTGCCAAAAGAACCAATAGATCTGTGTTGGAAGAACTGCAGCCAGAGTGCTCCTTGGAGGCCAAGATGGCCAAACTTCGTCTCTCATACTTCGGACATATTGTCAGGAGGGACCAGTCACTGGAGAAGAACATCATGTTTGGTAGGGTGGAGGGTCAGAGAAAAAGAGGAAACCTCCAATGAGATGGATTGACCAGGTGGCAGCATCAATAGACTCAAGTGTGGCAACAATAGTGAGGTTGGTCCAGGATTGGGCAGTGTTTTTGTTCTGCTGTGCATAAGGTCGCTATGAGTAGGTACCGACTCGATGACACCTAACAACAACTATGTGGCAACACTTTTGTACATGTCTGCCTCTGGGTGGTGGTATGAATTGTTTACAACTCTATCATAGTTTCTATTCAGTATCTTTCCTCCCTTCCCAAATTACTTCTCCTACATTTAATTTCTGTTCTCTTCTGGCAGTCAGCTAATCTTCCAAAACTACTAAGCACCATTGCTGGTCACTTACTCTATACCAGGAGTTGTGTTAAGCTCTTCGCATAGGCTTTCCTTTTTTAATTCTCAATAATCCTATGTATTCTTACATCACTTAACAACTATGTTAAGCTACAAAAGATGGATCCAAAAAGTAATAGGTTAACAAATGACTAAGTGTTACTGTTAAGTGCCGTTGAGTCTGTTCCAACCCATAGCGACACACTGTCTAGGGATTCCAAGGAGCAGCTGGTGGGTTTGAACCACCAACCTTGTGGTTCGAACTGATCTTGCTGTCCAGTGCATCCTGCAGTGATGCACCAGGACTAATACATTCTGTTAATGGATTTAGGCTCCCACCTTAAGGCATAAAGGCCTGATCAAGAAAAAGTAGTTCGATACTTACCCATATGAGGTGGTCACTGAAGATTCGGGTGCCATAGTAAAGTGCAGTGAAAGAATTAGATGGTGTCCAGCAGTCAGCAAAGGTAGTGTCTGGAGTCTTAAAGGCTTGCCCTAAAATAAGCAGCCATCAAAAAAGAGCCATCAGCCAGTTCATGCAGACAAAAACACATCAGCCTTCTCAGAAGCCTATATAGGATCACTGTGAGTTGGAACCGACTCAACAGCACTTAACAACAACAACAAAAAAGTAAAAAGTCTGGAGATCAGCAGCCCAAGGCTGCTCTCAGGCACCCATCATGGCGACCTCTAACAACTGGTAAAGAGGATAGTGGAAGCCAGGATTGTGAGCAGTCTGAGAGACCGCCTGCATGTGAGTAGGGTACCACAGGCTGCGCAGTTAGAAGTCTACAGCTCCAGCGGATTCTGCCTTTTAGGTGAAGGGAGGAATAAGGGACTCACTGATAGCATCCTGGCAACTGTCAAACCCATTTGTAACCACAATTTTTCCTGTCACCATCAGTTCCCTAGTGAAGTTGGATGAGCCTGAGCAATTTCCTTTTTATCTGCTACTGATTAGCTATACTATTAAATGTAGAGTTCTGGTGTGGCACTCGGGGTTAATGCACTGGACTGCAAGGTTGGTTTGAACTACAAGGCCAGTAGTTCAGGCTCACCCGTCCTCAAAAACCCTATACAGGGTCTCTATGGATCGGAACCAACTCTACAGCACTTAACAACAACTATTAAATGTAATAAAAACACTTTTTAAAAATACTTGCATTAGAAGAATAAGTTTAAATGCAAAACTGTAGTTCATAATGCGCTTAGTTCACAAACTTTAAAAAGATTATATATATGTTGTTGTTATGTGCCATGGAGTCGGTTTTGACTCATAGCAACCCTGTACAGGGTTTCCAAGGCTGTAAATCTTTATAGGAGCAGAAAGCCTCATCTTTCTCCCATGGAACAGCTGATAGTTTCGAACCCCTGACCGTGAGATTAGCAGCCTGATTCGTAACCACTGCGCTACCAGAGTTCCTTTACATACATACATATATATATATATATATATAAAATCATTAGTATAGTGTTGGTGAAGATGCCAAAAGAACAAATGTGTCCGTCTTGGATGAACAGCCAGAATCCTCCACCAAGTAAGTATGGTGAGACTTCATCTCTTGTTCTTTGGACGTGTTATCAAGAGCGTTTGGTAAAGTGAAGGATCAGCTAAAAAGAGGAAGACCCCCAATGAGATGGATTAACACAGTGGCGGCAGCAACGGGCTCAAACATAACAATCGTGAAGATGGCAGGGGACCAGTGTATTGTACTAGTGCATAGGGTCACTGTGAATCAGAACTGACCCGAAGTCACCTAACAACAAAACTCTAAATTTACCTAAGGAAACTAACTTGATGACATGGTTAATTTAATTAGCAATTAGCTGCTAATTGAAAAATCAGCAGTTCAGACCCACCTGTGACTCCACAAGAAAAAAATGTGATGATAAACTTCTGTAAAGATTATAGCCTTGGCAACCCTGCAGGACAATTCCAGGATTGCTATGAGTTACAATTGACAGCATTGGGTTTAGGAGGTTTTTGTTTGTTTTACATTGTAAAGCATTGTACATGTTAGTATTTTCATGCAAGTACATGTCAGCCACAGTTATAAATATATAAAGTTGAGAATCTCTGATTTGAACTTTGGAAATCTGAACCTGTGTCAGCACTAACACTTGAAAAACTTAACACCTTTCCTGCCTTTGACAAACCATCTGAAAGCTAAGATTGTCAAAGGCAAATTAAATGAGTTAATTATTGGTGGTGGTGGTTAAGTGCCTTCCAGTCTGTTCCTGTAGAGGGTGTTGGAGGAGCAGCTGGTGAGCCTGAACGGCCAACTGTGTGGTTCAAACCGGTTTAGCACCATCTCACCAGGAAATTTAATTATAGATACCCCAGTGTG